GTCCATGCCAATGACAACGACATAGCTCTGTCATCTTTGTTCATGCACTCTGCTGATCTTTTGAGAGGTTTCAAGTAGGGATGCTGTGGTTTGAGCTTGGTGAAGCCGTGGCTTGGCTGCAACAGCCGTAGTCTGGTGAGCAGCTCGCCGCACGGCAAGCAAAATTTGTCTGTCACAAAGCGCAGTCTTAACAAGGCTTAAATACAGCACTAGAGCTGAGTACCTTCTCAGATCTGCCCGCCATGCCTTCACAGACTCCTGCTAATCCCCCAGCTCACAAGCACATCCCTAAGCTTGCTCCAAAGCTTTTCCAAGCGCATAACCCTGGAGATCTCGACGAGCATCATGCGAAGCTTGTGGCAAAGCACATGAATGCTCAGAGGGACGAGACTGCTCTCTCTTCGCCTCAAGCCACCACTCCAACATCGCTAATTGAGACGAGCTTGGCAGCAGATCGCAGGTCTGAATCCAGCGGTGTAGACGAGGTAGAAGACGCACCATCTCACCCTGCGACAACCAGTATGTCACCAGATGATTACTTTCTCAAATTCCTCCGTTTCTAACATGTTTTCCAGAGGGAAAGCGTCGCTTGATTTCCTCTGGTTCAGAAGACGATGCGTCTGATGAATCAAGTGAAATCGAGCTATTGAGTGAGCCTCCGCCTCTGCAGAACTCAAAGAGCGGCTCCCTCTCTGGGTCAAGGACCAGGAAAATGAGTAAGCATGCCATCTCATCGTTCATTCTACTGCTTACCATCTTGTTTTCAGAAGCTAAAAAGACCAGGTTTGACACGAAGGCACAGGAGAAGGCGGCTTACAATGAGGACGGCTTTCTTGCGGACATCGTTGTCCAAGGGATCAAGCCAACGGTTCAGGCTATAGACCCTACAAATGCACGCAAGGATGTTGACCACTTCTTTGCTCCAGCTGAAGAGCACTTGGGAAGGCGGGGAGGGCCCAGCAAGAAGCACAACAAGTTCCTTCAATGCAAGTAAGTTACTTCTGTGCTCTCCAATTCAGATCTTTCAAGCTCATCGCGAGTGTAACAGAGAGTGGATCATCTCAGATATAACCAATCTGCGGCGCCACATAGAGACGAAGCATTTGGTATGCACCATGTCCTCTTCTCTTCATTCAAAAGCTTACCTACTCTCAGGCTTTGTTTCGTGCTTGGGCAAAGAAGAATAATTTCGAGTCCAAGCTTCATGGAGATATTCACAAGCGCAAGGCATCCCTTGAGACCATCAAACTTGAGCAGAAGACGCTTGACACCCATCTGCAAGATATGCCAAAGGAGGAGAGGGTTATCTGCTACTCTGAGCTTGTCTTCAAGCGGGTCGCCGTGGAATGGCTTGCTGAGACAGACCAGGTGCGCAGAGATAGTGCATTTTCTGCTGTTCTCAAGGTTAACATTTTAATTAGCCAATTGGTGCTCTGGAGCACCCTGACTTCTGCCGCATGATCCAAGTTGCGGCACAAGCTACAAATGGTGTCAAGATCCCAAATAGAAAAGCTGCTCGCAAGGAAATCCTGGAACACTTCTACGAACAGATGGCAGGTCTCAAGGCTCACTTTACGGTGAGTTTAAACACTGGAACTATTTTAAGATATCACTTTAATATGACTTGTAGTGCGAGGCTGTCACTGGCAAGATTAGCCTCACCTGTGAGGCCTGGCAAGCCTCCAATCTGGATGCCTACTTTGCGGTGACTGGCCACTTCATTGAGAAGCAGAGTGATGCCAGCTGGAAGCTCATTAGCTGTCTAATTGGCTTCACTCGTCTCAACAATGCGCACAACGGCGAACAACTGGGGCAAGCTCTTTTCAAAGTGGTGGATCATCTTGGTATCGCCCATCGGGTAAGCCAGTGCATCTCAAATACCTTTGAAGTACTCAGCTGATTCTTGTTCCAAAGATCAGACATATAACCTGTGATAATGCCTCAAACAATGGCACGATGCTTGACGAGTTTTCACGGCAGGTGGAACGGAAAACTGGCATAGACTGGGATCCAGTTGCACGGCATATTAAGTAAGCCACTGCGCTATCTACTGCTTCATCAAGCTAATACCATTGGTCTTCAGCTGCCTTGCACATGTCATCAATCTGGCAACGCAAGCCCTCATCTCCACTTACAGCTTGGCACCTCATTATAATCCTCATGACCCAAGTACAGTTGAGGATTCAGTTTCGTCTTCGCGAGATGAGATCGGACTGATTCGCGCGATAGCAGTAAAGGTGCGCATGATATTTTATTTTGTTTTCTCGTATGCTTAAACAGCAATATCCTGGCTACAGGAACGCTCCTCTGCTATCAGAAAGGAGCTGTTCCTCGACATTCAGCGGCGCATGGCTGTTTCACGGCCACTCCAGCTCATTCTAGATATGAAAGTGCGATGGTCATCCATCTACATGATGCTGCATCAGGCAGAAGCTCGTAAAGAGGTATGTGTACACACTGATCACTATCCTATATTGATGCTCAGTAATATTGGAGTAGCACATTGATGTCTTCATATCCAAGATTGGTATCAAGGAGACAAACCTTGACAAGCGGCGCAAGATCGATAGTCTTAAGCTTTCATCTTTTGAGTGGCAAAATGCGTCGCTCTTTCTTGGGCTTCTTGGGGTACAAAACCCCTCTTGTGCTTGTTATCTGCTGTTCTTACTGTTTTTTTTACTAGCAATCTGACTACGCGCAGCAGTCCTTCTTGTCAGAGAAGAATTCCACCCTACACCTCGCTCTCCTGGCTTTGGAAGCATTGTACAAGGCTTGGTCTTCGCGTGCTGAGCGAAGCAAGTACATGCGATTTGCCCCTGCTCTGGAGGCTGCTGCTGCAAAGGTAGACGAATACTACAATCGCACAGATACTTCAGATGCATACATTGTCACCATGTGTATGTTTAATCATATATTACCCTGCGCACAATTGACCAATTCTGTAGACCTGACCCCAGACCAGAAGGGGGCGCATTTCAAGAAGCACTGGTCCGCAGACTTGTGCCTGCAAGCGGAGCAATCCATGGAGAGGGTGGTAAGTCATCTTCATTTTGTTTGTTATGCTGCTCTGATATTTTATTAGTTTGCAGAACGGTGGAACAAGCTGCACCGCTCCAGTTCATCTACTGCCTCCGCTTCTGCCCCCAGACTGTCTAGAAAGGTATCTACCCTCCTTAGAGAGCTTTCAGACGACAAGGACGAGGCTTCAGCTATGGAAAACCCATCAGCAGAGCATGGTGGCTCTTCGTCTGACCAGGATAAGCCTTACTAGCAGGAGTACCACAGCTATCTCATCAGCAAAGAGGTCGTGCCACTAGGCATGTCTACTGTGACATGGTGGGGTGTAAATACTTTGATTTTACTCCACCACCATAGCTAAATGGTATCACAGCTGAACGCAGCTCGATCCCCCACTTGGGCGTCGCTTGCTTGCGATTTCCTTTCTATCATGGCCAGCTCTGTCTCTAGTGAGAGAGCCTTTTGCCAGGCAGGTATCACCATCAGCCCAAGGCGCAACCGATTAAAAGCAGATGTCGTCGAGGCACTTCAATTTATGAAGTGCCTCCTCAAGCACGATCTCATATTCCGGGAGCCTGGGCCATCTTCCTTGGTGGAGGAGGATGAATTGGCCCAGGATCTTGCTGAGATGACCTTGAATGCGCAGGAGGCTTCTGTTCTGGGACCTTGGGACCTTGGCCTTCTAGACGACGATTATATGGACTTATATGAGTAGCTGTTATGATGTATAATGCAAGCATGCGCTGGCAATACAAGTGTTGCGATGATTTTCTTGTTCATGTGAAGTTTGAGTTTGTGAACGGCTTTACTGATGTTTCACATCAATATTATACCTCAGAGCATTTATTTAAGCCTTATACTTTGCAGGAAAACCATTTAAATGCAGTACATAATCGCGTGTCTATGTATGGCAGCTGTGGAACTGTTGACAAGGTCTAGTGTTGCCACAGCTTGGCGCAGCTTGGCTGTGACTTGACTTTGGATGGCTTTTCTTTTTTGGGATCAGTCGAGTCAAGTCAAGCCGCAGTGCAGCCGCGACTATAAGCAACTATGGCTGAGCAGCGGCTTGCAGCCGATCGTCCCTCCCAAAAAGGAAGGTAGTTTACACTGGTACCATGGAATTCATCGTAACATTGCTTGTCCTACTTGAGTGATGCTAAATATGAACTGATCTCCTCTGGAGACTCTTCTGCACGGCTCTCCAAGTCTTTGAGCTCCTCTCCAATGTCCAAACCATGTGTGAAAGACAGAGAATGGCCTTGCTTGAACCTGAACTTGAGAATTTGCAGTGCTTCCATGAGTTCTCCACCGATTTTGTTGCGCCGGTCTGTAACTGTTATCTTTCCGGATGAGAAGACACGTTCACAGGGCACAGCAGAGGCTTGGATAGGCAGAATATCCATTGCAATGGCATAGATAGTTAGAAACCTGGT